GTTTCCATTAAGTGTCTTCCTGCCTCTGGTCCCAACCTAAACCCGGAACATTCACCTTCCGGCGCCAATGATCTGTTAGCACAAAGTGGCACATAAGGAGAAACTACGCCAATTCAAGCAATCGCTGCAATCATCCAGAGGTGAATATTCAACATTCAGGACAACAGCTAAAAGTAACAGGGTAGCCAACCTGGGCGGTGGTGTTCCGCTGGTAAGGTCATCAAATTATCGCCCCGGGAATGTATTCGAGTCCCATCACCACCGCCGCCTGACTTCCCCCATTGTGTGCTGAATGGCAGCCCTTTCAATAGCATTCCTTCCCCTCTCCCTGAAAATTGTCTTTCTACATTAAATAAAAGAAAATGAAGGAAAAAAAGAAAAAATTTGGACAATCGTGGAACAGCTCACAACGATTAATGATGATATACGGTGAACTGAATGAGCTAGCAAATAGAAAGTTTGAAATTTTTCTTTGAGCGACTATTAGGTCGACCGTCCAGTGAGACCAACTCGAAAATGGGGTGCGGTGAGTAATGCTTTCAGTTTCAGTCTGTACAAGCACTGTTAGTGCGGCGGTTTACGATGCAGTCCTTTCGCTATCTAATGGACTGAAGGAGTAGGAGAAATGTAGGAACCATGCAAAGAACTAAGATGAAACCTTACCACAACTTTATACCTAATTGCTATACCACTGATCAAGCCGACTCACCTTCAAAAACAAAGCAACCATACGGAAAAACAAAGTACTATCTGAATAAAGCGAAAGTGAAAATAGTAAAACAGGAAGGAAAGAACTATACTGCAACCAGTTCGATACGAAGAAGAGCAACAAAACGACTAGCTCAAAACTAGTCTAATCATGGGCAGATGAGTCCAGCGAGTATGTATAGAAAATTGAGCAGTATGAAAGAAATACAATCGTAGGAGTTACTAGAGCAAGGTATGATATTCACAGGAAAATGAATTTACGTATATAAGAAAAGAATCTCTAATCGAAAAGTACGTTTGCTTTCCCCACCAACACAAGTGAGTGCTTTTCGATCTCAGTGAAGATCAAATCCGGAATCCGAAGAAAGAATGCGTCCCTTCTATTTCATCACTGATCTTATTAGACTTATTGCTCTCGGTGCGTAAGATTTCGTTCTGAATCCCGACAACAGACAACTATTAGGAGAATGCTTTAGACTTCACGAAAGCCCATGAAGTACTAACGGTCGTCAGCAGCGCGGTGAATCCGCAAAGCTGGAGTGCAAACCAGACAGAAATTAGGCACGTGGTCACTTCGGTCACTCGGTCGTCCAGCAAGGCAACCGAGGTCGGGATGGATCTCCTCGACCTCGGCTGCCTTGCTGGACGCTCGTAAAAGCATTCCTCCGGATTCGAAGTACGACAAAACCCGCAAATCCCTTAAACGCCAGCTCATCAAGAGTATGAGGAATGACCGCGAGAAGTGGTGGGTAGGGAAGTGTAGAGAGTCGGAGAAGGCTGCGGCTATCGGTAATAGTCGCAATCTTTTTCATTTAATTAGGAGTACAGGACCAAGGAAAGCGGGCGTAAGTGAGGTAATCAAGGAGTCTGACAGCACACTGATTCAATAAGTTATCTCAGACGGCATAAGGCTTCCAGTCCCGATGGGCTGTCTCCATCGGTTTTTAAGGATGGAGGCTCAGTCTTGGTTTTGGAGTTAACAAAACTCCTGGGCTCAGTATGGGAGAGGGAACAGGTTCCAACTAAATGGTGTGAATCGGTGATAATACCGATTTACAAGAAAGGTGATAGATCCTCCTGTGAAAACCACGGAGGAATTAGTTTCATCAACATTGCATCTAAACTTCTCGCTGGTATCATACTCCGTCGATTGTTTGCCACACGTGAACGGTGTACGCGTGAGAACCAAGCTGGTTTCAGATCTGGTCGAGGTTGTACCAACATCTTCACTCTTCGTCAAGTTCTAGAACACAGACACTCCTTTCGATCTGAAAGCGGTTTTCGATTCAGTCGACCGCTCTAAACTCCGGCGCTACCTCGCTCCGAGGGGTGTGTCCGAGAAGTTAATTTCAATATTACAATCGCTTTATGCTAATAGCCGAAGCCGAGTCCGAGCTTACGGCACTTTCTCGCCCGAGTTCACCATGGAAAGTGGTGTTCGTCAGGGTTGTCCTCTCTCACCGTTTCTATTTAACTTCGTGATAGATCTAATTATTGAAACAGCCCTATCCTGGTGCGAGGAGGATAGCGGTATCGATTTACTCGCAGGTGGCAGACTGTCTGATCTTTTCTGGGTATTTTGAGTGCTAGTGTATCCATGTTCGGTATGCATTTTGCACCTTCAAAGTGTAAAATGTCACTACAAGATTGGATTGGCCCAGCTCCCAATCTCACTCTGATTGGGAAAATAGTACAGAAAGGAATTCTCCATCTTCCGCTTGAAATGTTCTTAGCACCATAATCATCATTTTTCTGTTTTATCAAAATAGAGCATCGAAAGATAGCAGCCAAACCCGCGCACGAAATTGCAGGGTTAATGATTGAAAAGAACGTGGTTACTTACTGAGCCCAGTTCGGACAAGCTGTGGGCACCTTTCCGTGGTACAATTAGGGACGTCTGTTGGGTTGCGCTTGACAAAAACGGAGTTGGAGGTTCAACAGACATACGTTTGGGTTCGCTTGGTTTGGGAGACTGGGGTTTGGATGGTCTTTTTCGTCCAACGGAAGCAGTAGGTGTCGCGGTGGTCGGAGCCTCTTCAATCTCCGAGATCTCCTCAGCTGCAGCAGATTGCGATGTATTCGCACGACGGCGTCGCTTACCGGCAGTGACAACTTCCACGGCGGTAGCCGGTTCTTTAGTTTTGCCTTTGACTTTACTGGGTTTCGGAGATGAATCAGGAATACTTTCTTCTTCTCGAAACGATTTGGCAAATGCTTCTTCTGCCAGGGCAGTGTCTGCTTCGGTTAAAACTACAGACGAATTCTGCAGAATCATCTTAGCCTCATCTGTTTCTCTCGCATCTTCCACTGCGAGTGCAGCAGCCAACAATGCATCTTCTTTGCCTGCCAAAGCTGCAGCTGTGTCGATGACACCGTAAGCACTGAACCGCTTCAGCCTATTTGAATCTCGTGTAGTCATTCGCATGGTGGGCGGAGGAGGAGCGTGAGGTGGTGGGATGGGCACGCTTTCAACCAGTTTTGAGGTTTCATTTGCATCGGCTACAGCTTCCGCCATCCTAAAACAAACCGTAGGCAAAATTCAAATGACGCAACTATAGAATCAAATAAACAAATGAAGCAATGGTCTTTCATTGATGAACATGATGTATTCATAAACACTTGAAACAAACAAATGTGACTCAGTCCTGTGGCATAACTTCAGATTCAGGAGATTTTCACTTGACGGGGCAACTGAGATACGGCATGACAGAGCCATTATTCACTAAGTTACGGATTGTCCCCTTCACACGGGGAATACTATATATCCATATACAATCATATATGTATATGATAATAAGTAGTATGAGAATGACTGGACAAAATTTCCCTGG